TTATTGAAAAAAATTCACAATTATTAATTTTTCAAATCAATTTTTCAGTACGTATTTGACATCGTACACCAATATAAATGGCACCATCGTGTTCCTGAGCTCAAACTGCATCCAATAGACACCTTTTTTGTTGAAAAATTTTAACTTCAAAATTTGACCTGAAAGTGACCTGACCTAAGCTAAATTCGACTCAAAATGACCTCGAATGACACAAACGACATCAAATTCGAAATCTATGGCCTAAATGGACCATAAAGCATGTGTCACGTGACCGACGCATGGTATAATATTTTCGTGACCTGTGATGACCTGACCCTGACCTGAAAATCAAAGTACAAGTTTGGTACCCTCAAGGTATCTAGAGAATCTGTTCACGAGTGTGGAAACAAAAAATGAGCCTGATCGGACTTGTAAGACGGCGGCCAGAGCCCAAAATGTGAACAAGCCAAAATCCTAATAATTTTTACTTTGACCTGACCTGTGACGTCATCAGTGACCTCGAGGTCAATGAAATTAGGTTTCGCTCGACAGTTTTTCCAGGGCTATCAGACGCCGTTTGAATTTTGACGATCGGCCCAGTAGTTTCGGAGTTAAGAGGGGGGGCTATGAATAGCCCCCCCCCCCCAGTAGGGCGTCTTATACACAGACCCCAGTGGGGCGCGGGTTAACGGCCGGCCGGCCCCATGAAGGAGAAGCTCTTGGTGAAGCTTTGTGATCGCCTCATAGCCGCCTTGGATGTCATCTTTCTTGGCAGATCCATCCGTTCAGATGGTACGGTGCAGTCTGGATAAAGGACGAAGTCCAACGCCGCTAACCCCGCGACCGCCACCCCACAACGTGGCCGCAGACCGAACGGGCGTGAGGGCCGTAAGGGCCACCCCGCCATCCGGTAGGTGGCTGAGCAGCCGGGCGCAGCGGCGCCTGGGCGGCGGCCGCGCTGAGATGAAGTCCCAAACCGCCATGTCGCCATCACCGCCATCACCATTGCTGCAGCTGTTCCCAACCTCCTCAATCGCCGCCGTTTTGCCAGCAGTCGCGCCGCGGAATGGCAGAAGCTCCAGAGTAGCCTCCAGCGCCCCTCTCCGCACGTGTGCAGGTGCACTGCGGCCGCCGGGTCCGACGTCCAGGCAGAACATGATATTTCCATGCTGCTCCGACGGTGGGCTGGTCTTGTTTGGGCGTTCCTCCACTGTGACGTCGGTCACGCCTGCCCCGGCCAGGGCGCAGAGGCCGACGTGTCACCATCCGGTTGCGGTCCTCAGTCGGGTCGCAACGTATACCTCTTCCGCAGCGTGGAGCGCGCTCCCGCTGGGCAGCGATACAGCCAAAAGTAGCATGCGGGCGGCCAGCGCTGCGCCGGACAGCGGACCCATGCCGGGGGTATGCCGGTCTCGGCCATTAGCGGGGTCGTCGGGGCCGAGGCTGTACATACAGCTGGTGACCGCGTGAGCCGCCAATCGAAGCTCACGGCTTATAAGCTCGACGCGGGCATCACACGCCGTCCCGATGGGAGCTCGACGACGCCGCCGCGAACTCCAGCGCGGCTCGCAGCGCGAAGACCAGTACGGACGGCCGGGGCAAACGGCATGCGGGAGTCGCAGGCGACGTTCTGCGGACAGAAAGGGTTGGGCATAAGCTGGTCGGCAGGACACTCTTGAGCCGAGCCTTTGATGTAATTACAGATGATCCAGAAGCATGCACAAAAATTCATGACACACTATTCTCATTTATGTATTTGCTTGCTACATATGATATGATATACCAGCTCATGATCAGTGACGCATTCTGGGCAATATGTTCTAAAGTGAAGTAACTGAAGTTCCGTTCCGTTCCGTTCCGTTTATTGATTATAACCGAAGGTTTGTTGTCAATAGTTAAAACACTATTCTTTAGAATTGTGTTTTTCTATTGAAAAACAAATCTGAGTTCCCTGAGAATTTGGCAAAAGCTTAATTTGGGACCACACATTGAACAATTCATAATTTATGGCACTGTCAAACGGGATTGGTCGGAAAGGATTCACATGTTAGTTTTGTTAGAATACGGACAGTTAGTGTTAAAGGTTATATTGGGGAGTTTGACAGTGCCTAACCAGACGGTAACACAAAGACGAGATCAAAAAGACGAGTCAGCGGTCATTCCAGAGAGCGGCGACCCAGCACCGCCGCCGAGCGCAGCGGCCATCCGGCACCCGGCGCCAAGCACCAGCCGGGCCTTGGTCGATGGGGATGGTGCCCGGAGAGCGGCGACTCAGTATCGCCGTCCAGCACACAGTCATCGGGCGTTCGACGCCGTCATCCCGCCGGTCCAAGGTCGGCAGTAGCGCCACAGAGGTGGCGCCCGCTCCACCAGTGGCGCTCGTCCCACCAGTGGCGCCACCCCATGGCAGCATGAAGATGTAGCCCGTTGTCAAGTCAGGAGAGGGGGCACCGCTGCCGGTCACCGCAGCGGTCGCAAGGTGCCGGTCATCACACATCCAACGGGCCGCGGCCGAGAATGAAGTCTAGTCGGCTGCCCCGTAGTCATGTCCAACAAGCTCACTGGGACTTCGACAGTTCGAGAGCGGCGAATCAGTATCGCCGCTCAGCGCAGCATTCATCAGGCGCTCGACGCCGTTAGCCAGCCGGTCGGCTGTACCGCCTCAGAGATGGCGCCTGCTCCACCAGTGGCGCTCGTCCCACCAGTGGCGCCACCCCATGGCAGCACGAAGATGTAGTCCGTTGTCAAGTCAGGAGAGGGGGCACCGCTGCCGGTCACCGCAGCGGTCGCAAGGTGCCGGTCGTCGCACATCCAACGGGCCGCGTCCCGAGAATGAAGCCATCGGGCTGCAACCGTGGGTAGCCGCCCTGTGCGCCACAAGGACGGCATCTCCTCAGGGAGCGGAAGCAACAGCCGCCATCCGTCGCAGGCCGCAGCAGCCCCCAGCAGCATGGCACCGGGCTTCGACCGGACCCTGTCCAGCCGTGTAGCTCAGCTGTAGGGGCAGATGGTCGGAGAGGAACGTTAGGCCGGGGTCAATCACATTATCGTTCAGGGGTCGGGAACGTAGGCAGGTACAAACTGGTACGATGCTGGGGTATTTAAAGAATTGGAAAGAAAACTTGAGTAGCGTAGTGTTGAATGGCCATTGTAAATCTGTATATGAATTCATGTATGAATAAATATGTATACCTATATCGATGAACTAACAATACATACATGCTAAACGGAGTGCAATGCTAATCCCGTTTATGATTAACACTAGACATAATGTGTTTGGCTAAGTGCAGCGGGATATAGGTTGTTTAACTTCCTGAGGTCCCGCTGCACGCCAATAAGTCAAGGAAGCAACGGATGTGGTGGTGGTGGATCAGAACTATCAGGGAAAAAAGTAAATATGGAAAAAAAGGGTAAATAGAAAGAAGACAAGAGCAAGTAATACAGCTGAGTTATTGGAAAATCTAATAGTCATCAATGAAGATATGCATAAGACATTTCTTAAAAAGGGATTTACTGGAGGGGATATCACGAAGGTTAGGTATACGCGAGGCAATTACTTGGTTCCAGATTACTGGTGCTCTACAAAATGGTGAAAATAAACGATAATTGCGTAACCGATAATTAGGCACCCCATCCCCGTTGTCCGTAGAGACCAGCTCATTGAAGTGCCTGGGATTACGAACTGGACGAGAATGATTACTTATGTACAAGGAGAACCTAACCGAAATAGCATCAGGTCACCGGTCAAAGAGGAAGTCATGTAAAACAAGAAGCAGCTGTTTGTTTAAGACATCACAAAGCTTAAGAAGTTTAAGTTCACGGAAGAGTGGAGAGGTATGGGACAGGCGACTCACACCAGCTATGAGCCTGATCGCTCGCTTTTGCGCAGTGATGATAGGAATTAGGTTACATTCATAATTCGAGCCCCATACAATCAGGCAATAACTAAGGTAGGGAAGGACAAGGGAGTTATACAAGAGGATCATGAGTCTCTTATTAAGGAGATATTTGGCTCGGCCCATTATGCCAATATTTCTACTAATGACGCAAGATACTTTACTAATGTGAGACTTGAATTTAAGATTTTCATCTACTAGGATACCCAAATACTTTACTGTAGAGGCTCGCATTAAGTTAACACCTTTAGCAGGTATGGAAAGGCCTTCCATCTCATTACTACTAGGGGTGTAAAGCTGGTAAACTGTTTTGGAGGTCGAAAGAGACAACCGATTTGCGTGGAGCCACATAAGTACTCTTGGAAACGACCGTGAAACTGCACGTTGGACCTCAGCACGCGATTTTGCAGAGTAGAGGATGGCTGTATCGTCGGCGAACAAAAGAAATTTGGCTTCATCACATACTTTAGGAAGGTCGTTTATATAGAGAAGGAATAAGATTGGCCCCAAGATTGAGCCTTGGGCACACCACACGTAACGTCAATAGTACGCGAAATAGTATCATTAAATTTTAGACATTGCTTTCTACCAGTAAGATAAGATGAAAAAAGAGACAGGGCATTACCCGTAATGCCATATTTTGACAGCTTTTTAAGAAGAATATTTGTATTTACTGTATCAAAGGCACGAGCCAAATCAAGGTAGATACCCACAGTGGAGTGGCCAGCAACAAGTTTGGCAGTAATAATGTCGTGCAAAAGGCAAATGGGCATATACGTTGAGTGATTGGCTCTAAATCCAAATTGTTGCCCAAAAAGTATGTTATGTTCAGTGATAAAACTAAGGAGTTGAAAATGTATCACTGATTCAAGAACTTTAGAAATGGCAGGTAACACTGAGATAGGCCTATAATTCGAAAATAACGATTGCGAGCCTGATTTATATATTGGAGTAATCAGAGCAGTTTTCAGCACAGCTGGAAATTTGCTCTTAGTGATGCAGGTGTTAACTAAATGAGTTACGTGTGGAACAATCACTGGAATCAGATGTTTTAAAAGTTTACTGTTGATGCCATCCAAGCCAGCACCAGAATCCTTTAGCCCTTCAACAATGTTTAAAACAACTGCTTGGTTAACTGGCTGAAAAGCTAATTCATTTGGAACCGCACATCATTCAGGTATGTTACAGGATCAACCGTGCAGGGGCCAAGAGCTGCATCCAAAGTTGGGGCTACTTGAGCGTAATAGTCGTTAAACATGCATGCCAGCCTATCAGGCGCTGTGACTGTACCGCTTTCAGTCTCGAATCTGCTGGGCAGATCCCTTTGTGTTTTTCGTTTATTAATAGCCTCTAGCAAATCAGCCCAGAGCCTCTTGGGATTGCCAGCATTCTTTTCAAATTGTGAACGGTAGTAATTTTGTTTGGCATGTCTCAAAGTAAGTCTCAGAGCATTACGGTACTTCTTGTACTTATTCAGTTTATCATTGGAGCGATCCTTTAGAAATGCCTTCAGAAGAGCGCTCCTCGTGTTCATAGAGCGTAGGAGCCCTGGTGTTACCCAGGGTTGTACGGGGATGCTTTTCCTGGAGGTTTTGATTGAGGAGAGTTCTGAGACTTTGGTCTGTATTACAGATATTAGCTTACTAGCACAGTCGTCTGGATCGTCCAGTTCCAAAAAGCCCTCCAGACTGTTGAGAACATTTACTTTGAGTTCATCAATTTGATTATAGTTAAATTTAGGTCTGGATGCAGCTCCTTTGACAGTTGGGCTTTGTTTGACCAGGTCGGTAGTGCAGCAAACAGCTTGATGGTCAGCGATCCCCGCACAGATAGCCCCACTAAATGTGATGGCATCTAGGACATTTGTGAAAATATTATCAATGAGAGTTGCTGGGAAGGGTGGAGTGGTTGATATTCTCGTAGGAACAGTGATAGTAGGATAAAAGCCATGAGAGCTCATACAATCTAAAAATTGCTTAGAATCATGATTATCATTGTATTTGAATAGATTCACATTAAAGTCTCCACCCCAAAAGCATGGCTTCTTCAGTTGAACTACTTTATCAAGGGTATCTTCAAGAAATGGCATCAAAAGGGAAAGTGGGTATGACGGTGACCTATATAGAGTACACACAACAAATGGGACTCCATGTGGAAAAGTAATAAGAATGCTAATGCATTGAAACTCAGTTTGGCATACAGACATCTCATCGATCACTGCACAGTATGGAAAGATTTCACTCTTGATATACATGGCACAGCCCTTGCCAGTGACATTATCAGTGGGTATGGAGTGGATCATTTCATACCCATCAATCCTGTAACAGTCAGTGATGTCAGATTTAAGCCAAGTTTCAGAGATCAACAGTATATCGACTTTAATATTTTGCTTGGAAACAAAAGCAACAATAAAATCAAAGTTTTGGTGGAGTGAGCGAGCATTAATGTGAACCATTGATAAGTCCGTTTTGTCTAGCACATGGGACATGGATGGGCAGGATTGTTTTGCATTTAGAGGAAACAGATTGTAAATGGGGTATACTTATAGGAATATTGTGTAGGGTAGGAGAGTCATCAGGAACAAGTTTGGGAAACCCATCCTCAAGGATTACATGGTAAGTTCCATTGTAGGAAATGGTAGAAGACTAGAGAGTACTATTCGTAGAGAAGATTACAGATGCCAATCAGTAAACACAAATGATTGAAGAAAAAAAAACAAACAATTACCTAAATCTGGAACTGAAATAATAATATATAATAAATAAATAAACTGAGGGGTTTCAGCAACCATAATCAGAGACAGGATACACTACTTAAGAAAACAAGTTCAGGTACTCGGGGTAAGTTACAGCTTAAAAGCTTAAAAAACAGCTAAAAAAAAACACACACACATTCGATAGCTTATGAGAATAACATGCCTTGTGTGCTTAATGAAGGAAAATATGTTTTCACTTTTTTAGAAACAGCAAAAGAGTTGTCAACAAGCCATGTCAACTATCTAAACAATTTTTATGGAAACTGCTCTAGCTAGCTTAAAGTTCCACGTTTCCGGAGCACCGTACCCAAACTCAGTTCATGTTACAAGAAAAAACAGTAATAATGCCTCCTAATTTTGAATGAAATATAGGTATGAGTAATTTGATTTGGAAAGCAACAAATTTCCGCACATCATTTTAGCAAAATTACTATTTTCTTCAGCCATCAGGTTACACAAAACTATAGTAAACTTTATGATCTAGTTTACACAAAACCAAAGCCCCGACTTTAACAAATGTAGATTAAATTTAACCCTCGCATGTGTAGGGGGGGGGGGTCGGATGGACCCCCCCCCCATGGTTTTTCGCGAATAACTCACGTAAAAAGCGGTCGATCGCGACGAAACTTTCAGTACCCTCGCATTGATCAATTTGACACCTACCCTGAAAATTTCATGACCCTGACCCAAATGACCTTTGACCTGTGACCTCTTTTCCGAGACCATGTTTGGCCGGAATCGCGATTTCGCGTATGTCGGCTCGCACTAGCCGCGTGTTTGCAAGCTTTTCGTGGTTTCAAACGTTCAAACATGTGATTTGATGTTACTCCCGTGTGTGTCAAGGTCACCTGAAGGTCAGGTCAGGTCATTGACCTTTGGTGACCTCGGGTGACCTCGGGTCACTTTTTCGAGTTTTACATGTTTCTAGGCTAGTTTTTGGAGCTGAATTCGAATTTAGCAACCATTTGAACATTTACAAAGTAGTTTTGGTGACTTCGTAACATGTTACGAAGCTGTCAGAGGCGGTTGACACGTACTACGAATACCCGTCACGACGCCTACTGGTTGACCTGACCTGACCTGACCCGACCTGGTCTAAATGCTTCAAGACATCATCTGTGATCAAAACTAACACGATATTCGTGATCAGCACCCCGAAAAACCCCTTAGCAGCCACACTTTACGACTTTCTAACAGGTCCCGATTTTCCCGATTTTGGGTCATTGACCTGACCTGGAAGGTCAACCAATGACCTAGGACCTTAAAATTGGGTATCATCGGCTTCCTCTCGTCACGGGCAACACGCTCGTTTTTTCCGCTAAGCTCTAGCTCGATCAGGGGCCAAACGGCAAGGGGGGGGGGTCCAACCGACCCCCCCCCTACACATTAGAAGCTGGCAAACGCCGCACACATGCGAGGGTTAAACAATTTTTAAAAATGTATCGTGGAGAAATTGAAAAGTGTAGATTTGTAAAGCCGGGATATTTCACGGATTAGGCACTTAAAGAAATATCTTCACCTTTTTTGAGCCACCAGCCTTCACCCAAGTTTTACACGAATGTAGTGAAGCAGACAATGTGGCAACTCAAAATTGTGATGGTTTGAGATAATTATGACTGTAAAAGAAAAAGCAACACAAGGTTCCTTACCCTCGTTTTTTTCCACATGGGTTCAGATGAGGCTTCAACTGTTGCCGACCTGAGGAGCTATAGGGACTTGAGCTTTCCAAAACTCAATTTCTAAGGGTACTGAGCAGTGTTTGGCTTTCACACGAATACGATAGTAAGTTATATGAAGTTGACAAAGCAAGCAAAGCAAAGCATGATGCCCCGCGCGTCCGCCCGCGACCACGCCCCGCGTCCGACTCCCGACCGCCGCGTGACCCGAGGCGCCCGGCGGTCACGTGACCTACCGGCCGGGACTGCAAACGACCTTCACCACCATTCTTGTATGACGTCATATCCTACTGAGGTGCTGATTGGTCGGAATTAGATACCTGAAGGTAATTATCTGCCGTAGTTATTTTTGTTTCATTGTTTTGCGTGTTTTCTTATATGAAATGTAATTAAAAAATTTGCCGTATTTTAATCACCATTAAAACATAACTGAATAGGTATAAAAGAGAACTCGATATATACTTTCCTTGTTTTTAAGAATTCCGGAATTAGATACCCGAGGGAGCAAAGAGGGAGCAAGTTGCCACGCTGATTTGCTACCTCATAGTCGAAAGGTGGGCTACTAGAACCGAAAATTGCTGTGTTTCTAAATAAATAAGTGATTTGAGGGCAAAGAATGCCCGGATTTAAACTTAAATTATTTTGAACATAAAATATTTCAGTTTGAGGGATGTTAAGGCCTCAAAGAGTAGGTACTTTTCAGGTATCAAATAGGTTCCTCTGCGAAAGTTCCGTCGTGAAAACGGCTTTTATGAATTTATTTCAGTGTTTTAAACGATAACGCTCTCTGATAATATGACAAAGCAGGCATATAAGCAATTAGTGCAACCCTAGCTGATAGCTACTAAGAGACAGACTGAACCTGATTTGACCAAATATGCACCTAATCTGCACCAGATGTGCACCAAATGTGTACCAGATGGCCGTCGTGAAAACGGCTAATCGCAACTTTATGGAACGATACAACATTTGTCATTGTTCTTGCGGCATCAACTATCGAGAATAATTTTACAGGAACTATTTAAATTGTTATTATGGCCCTTGGCCGTGGTGATGACCTGTCAAGCTCTCTTTTCACTTTATATGCCAACGAACACGACAAACAAGTACTGAATTTTCTTCCTAGAGGAACTGGTGTGCCTCACATGTATTTCAACGCCACAAATTGTATTTCCATGAAAAGCTGGCATTCGACCATCACTCATCAGTTCTCCCCAGCCGGAAATGTGCTACTTGGCGCATCGTGCGTAGTCCGACTTATCCTGTTAGCACAACGCGTTGGGTTCCGTAAGCGTTTCGGCTTCGCTGTTGTTTATGAGTAGACGTTTAGACGAGCATTAGAAATAACTACGTTCATATTTTAAAACAACGACACAGTTATTTTCTCTCAGCAGTTTTCATAACGTCTTTCTAGTTTCTCCTGGACCGCAAATAAGGGCTCATAAGCGTGCCACATTTATATCGTGGTTATGACAGCTCACCGCTTTAAATACCGTGTTGCTTGCTTATTACGCGATTAATATTTTGTTGGTATACTGTAACGAAAGGTGGTGCAGGTCGTTTGAGACTGGTGAGCGTGATGCGAGACCGTCCTTCGGTGTTTACAAATTGGTCCATGCATGCATACCATCAAAATCAGCAGCAGCGAGTGTGCCTGTGGACCCGTTGGTCGCGAGTTCGATCCTGGGCAAGTTCAATTTTTTAGTCCACTTGTTTACCGTCCACGGCTACGCCCACTTTTACTTT